TATATATATACATATTAGTAGCTTGAAGTATAGCCACTGCACTTTATGTATATAAGTAAATTATTAATAGACACAAGTTAGGCAATGATGTAGATGAGTTACTGTTTATTACAGCTTTAAAGTTTGGTTTGGTTTGTTTTAGATTTCGAGGGCTATCTGCGCTAGCCGTTCTTAATTTAGCAGTGATAGATTAGGAAGAAGGCAACTAGTTAACAACACCCACCGCCAACTCTTGGGCCACTTTTTTACCAAAGGATAGTGGGATTGACCGCACATGATAACGCCTCTACGACTGAAAAGGCGAGCATATTCGGTGACGTGGGTTAGGACCCATGACCCGCAGATTGTGAGTCGAGCGACTTAATCACCAGGCCATGCCAGACCTACAGCTTTAAAGACAAGTATATGAAATAAAACCCAAGATGAAGAGCCCCTGGTCATCATCTGGTTAGCTGCCACGAAGATGGAGCTTAAAAGTGTTAATGCCCTATTCTGTAGTAGAGATTTAGTTTGGTAGATTTCTAAGGAAGGCATCAGAAGCTTTATGTCTACACTGCCTAAAATATACTCAAAACAACCACTCTGCTGTATGACAATAACTTTGTTTTATTCAAGTGACTAGTGGTAAAAAAATAATAAAAAATATATGCAAGATGCATTTTATATTTTTTAAAAATTACAAAAGACTTGTTATAATGCTTCCTGGAATTTTTGAATTCAAACGCGGAAAAATGGGTGAGAAGGCTATCAACGGTTGTACGTCACCAGCTGGAGCGCAACCTAACGGGTGGTGTTGCCCATGGAATATTAGAGAGTAAGTCGTCCCAAATTTATTATCTAGTTTTACAATTATTAATGCACAGTACATATTCCTTAACCAACAAGTTGACATCACAATTTGACAAAATTGCAAAGAGTTCCCCTATAACGCGGAAGAATAGGTGAGTAGGCTATCAAGTTTAGTACAAGTGTATGAATTTAAACAATCTTAAACTTCACATTCCGTTTGTTACTGGTGGGCATAGAGTGAGGAGTTAGCATATAAATAAAATAAATTATATGAAATTGCAAGAGTGGATACATTTTGGATATTTTGGTGTGTTTGTTTATACAAGTATTGTCATGGTTGTTGTGCCGTTGTTCCAGTCTGTTGGAGAAGTTAACAAAATCAACTTATTATTATTTATATAATCAATAATTTTAGAGGAACTATTAAATATGGTAGTAACAACCACGTTCTCTTGAATTGCTGAAAGTGACCAGACTTATTTTCCAAGTAATTGCAATAGTAATAAACCAATAAAGTTTTTGCTGTAATGGTTTCTCCTTCATGTCCTCATGAGGACTCTGACGAGCACCCAGTTGGCATGGGCCACATGGTTCATGGTTTTCTTAATACTGAAAGTTTGTTTTCAGTTTGGTCGTATGTGGGTTGGTGTGGAAAAGGTGTAAGTGTAATGCCAAGATTTAAAAATAAAAAGATCACAGCCTACCATTTTGTAGTGCTATCAGGAAAAATAGGAATTTCAATGTGTGTGTAGCATTTATTTAAGTATATTCGAGAAAATTACTTAGTACGGGTCTCTCAGGGAACCGTTAAACCCAGTTTCTGAGAAGCTCAAACTTTAAAACCTGTACAACTGTTAAAATATTGCTCTTCATTTAAAATATAAAATTCAATTATCAATTGCAGTTATAATACACGTACTCTGAGTCATACACTCACTGGGGTCAGCTACAAGGTAAAACAAATACTCTTACTTACTCAGTAGAAGGTGAGAAACAACAAGGTTTGAAATATATACCCATATTTGGCTCTGTAGGCCATAATCGATTAAAACACATTTCCAAGAGAGTTTTCCCTAGAATGGCGTTTCAGTTAATTTCAGCCAGAAATTTATCAAATTCAGCCTTTATTTCAGAGGCTGGCAGACACTTCCGGGAGGACTAATGCATGAAGATGTTACAAAATACTTGTTAAGATACTAATATCTATATATACATAAAGTGCAGTGGCTATACTTCAAGATACTAATATGTATATATATTGCCACATAGCTAAAACAAGACTTATTTCACTCTGCCACATAGCTAAAACA